TTTGTTTTTCTGCAATCATTTCCACAGTATATCCCGACCGTGCAAACCACACATCATACATCACAGAAAGAGAAAATTCATTTAGTTAAAGGACGCGATCGCACTTATAAGTCACTAATATATGAATCGGTTTATGGGCTTATGGGATCACTTAGCGGTATACTTTGTTTACTGTGAATTGTAAACCAAACGCAACTTCAATGAGCATAACTTAGAGCAAAAAGTCACTTAACACGCCGTGCAAGAAATTAAAATACAATAAAAATCCTACCTTGCGCAAATGTTTAAATTGGTTTTGAAAAGTTTGGATTCTTCAGCTGGGGCAGTCTTTCAAAAATAATGATGTAGACGCGTCGCGGTCAAAACTGAAAATGTCAAAAAGCAAAAACACAGAAAAATAATAATAATATATAATAGTAAGAGGACGGTGAGGCTGGGACTGGAATGAGCAGAGAGCTGTCCGTTTCTGCTTTCTGTAGGTTTCCTGTAGAGTCACGGCTGGTTTATGGGATTATGGACGTGTTGGCTGCTCGCAGATCTGGCGGATTCACTTTGTCCGGAGACTGGAGAGTATCCCGACACTGGCAGCGAGCTCCTCTCCTGCGGCGCGCCTGTTACTGAGACTCGGACTGAGCTGATCTCTACCCCCCTCCTCCGCCAGTAGTGAGTCCAAGGCCAGCCCACCCGTCCCAGACACACAGCCCAATAAACAAAAACCAACCAGAGACCAGCCGCCTTCAGCTTAAGCCCCTATCAGGGAACCGGTGCGCATCTGACATCACTTTATGAATGAGAAACTATTTCAGATTACTTCGTGTCAGCCATGCACCATTTGTTTTTATATTATTATTAACTATCAGTTTACATTTATATATTTATATTTTCAGGAGCATGTTTTGGATTTGATTTTCAGTAAATTTTACTCCATTAATTACTATTTACATCAACTGGAAGCATAATAAACACTTAAGTTTGTCTTTTTCTATTAGACGTATGAAAAGACACTTCTTTTCCCCTTGGGGCGAAAAACAACTGAACCTACTGCAGTGTCGAATTTGTCAGTCAGCTCTACGATCCCATAAATAACGTCTTAACGCGCCTGTCCCGTTAAATGAGGGGGAATCCACCCTACGCCTTGGTCTTGGGAAATGTTTATTGCCTTTTGTAAGATGTGCAAATTTGTTACCCTCTTTTCAGAGTCACGCACCACCCCGGGGCTTGTTTTTAAGGGCTGGTGTAGGTGTCGGATACACTATTTGTAATAAGCATTCCTCAAGAAAATCTATTTACATTAGACCGTGTGAAAATACAGTCCGATGTCTCGTAAAAACACATCTGTCCGCCCAACTAAAACAACCTGAGCGCCTCTTATCTGTGTGTGTCCGCAAGTGTTTATCCGAAGGCTTTTCCTTTGCATTTCATGTGTTTATTTGACCCGAAGATATTCTGTATTTAGGTGTGAAAATACTGGTCAAGGACGCGTATTGTCCGGTTCCGGGCCGTAACCTGGGGAGGTAAATATTTATCAAAAGATAAGAGCGGCTGACAAAACGTAGCTGCAATAGGGAACCAGTAATTGCTAGTGAATTTATGACTGGATGGCAGCGATTTTCGAACGAAGCGATAAGTAGCTTCACCTGGCAGACATGAACAAACGGCAGCTGTGATTTGCATTTAAAAAATATTACATTATGGTGCCAACACTCCACTTTAAAGGCAAAGAAATTGGTCAGAGATTGAACGCTTGCGGCTACATTTGGCGACTGCAGTGAAAGGAACAAGATGTTATTTAAAAAGAATGGTTTTTAACAACTACTATATTGTTCTCCTGTAAAAATACACAACATCAAAAACCATGACTTAATTACTCCACCACATTGTAAGAACTTGTAGGACACTATTAATACAAAACAGTCTTCCCCTGTTAACAAATATTAACAAATGCCCGGGCTCCATCTAGTGGCGGAAACTCAGTAATGCCTCCGCCAATCGCACGGAAGGCGGCCAGACCCGTTACACACAGACACACACACACAAGGGTTTATAATTGTATCTTTGTGGGGACTGTCCATTCATTTCTATGGGGAAAACTCTCATCCCAACATGACACCCTTAACCCCTACCCAGCCATAACCATACCCATAAGTAACCAAACAAAATACGAGACTTCGCAACTCATTTTAACATTTATACGGCTAATAACAAAATACCCCGATTCCATGGCCCTGTGGTTTAGTCCTCACAGATCACTTTCCAAAGATAATTTCTTTCAAGACATACTTAAGGCGCCTGAGTCCGGGGCTTGAGCCAAACCGTGTCGGTCTGGAACATCCAAGAGATGCTCCGTCCTCCCAGCCAGGCAGCGGAGGTAAGGAGACTGACTATGATTTTTTCGTATGGGGAGCAGCCAGCCAGTTCTGGGGCAGAAACATTCGGATCATCTCCCTGATATAAACACTCCCGGCCCCCTAAGAAGGGTCCCCGAGATCAGTGACAGTGTAGCACACTGTGTTTTTAATCCTCTAAATGAATTCGTCACTCATCAGGCGGACCAGCTAAGAGCGCAAATCCAGCATACATGCATGTTCCGGGGCAGGCACCCGGACAGGCGCACACATTCATAGCAGCGCACACATCTATGCGGACATCCGCGTGCAGGCTCGTACCCGAGGAAAGCCGCACAAGGCCACGAAGACTCGAGATCTCTTTGACTCCCACAGACGTTTAAACTGACCTCCAATGTTACGAAGGAAACGGACAATACACCGGTGTAGATAGATGCACACTCCCTCTTCAACTTCCCACAGACCTATACAAACTTAGGAGTTCCACTGAGGGGGGTCTTCACCTTAAAAGCAAACGCCTCTTAATAAATGGGTACATGTATTGGGACGAACTTGCAGATGACTACGTTGCCTAGAATTAATCATTGTCCTCCTGTTACTGTCATACTTATGAGGTGATTGAGGTGTGGATTGATTCTGATCGTGTGTGGACTGATCATCCTGAGATTCAGATACGTCGTCCACGATTCACCTATAATATTATTGTTTTAAGGATAAACCTGCATAAGCATGGTTTTGTCCCTCTCTGATCACTAATATAACTTGCTTTCCACAAATGACTGGTTTGAGTAACCTTATCTCATGTGAAAGAATCCTCGTTCTGGGATGCTTAACCTATTCAAGGACGCTTACCATGTTTCCCCGGGTTTTGGAGGGGCTTGTTGAAGACAGGGAAAGGTGTTGCTCAATATGTTCTGTACACCACTGGTCAGTGTATGAGACACCTGCCTTATCTTCATGGGAAAGGGAAAGCATTGCTCAAGGATACTCGTCTAATTATTTTGGGAATTAGTCAGTGTGTGTAGAACGTTTATCCCCATCCTTAGGAGGAGGGGATACATTGATTATAGAAACTTTCCGATTGAAACTGCAGGCAGCATTGCTCGGACAAAATTAGAAATTTGAGAATGCATTGCCTGAGGGGAGGGGTGAGCCTGGCCAGCTCATCTGCTGCCCGCATGTAATGCCCAAAATTTAGTATAAAGGAAGGTGGAGATGTTGGTACTGACCGGAGCTCAGCCGTGGGATAGAGCGCGCATCGCCCGGCACTTTCTCGGGACTCCTCACATCATCTTAAATCAGTACATTACAAGGAAGTCAGTTTAAACCTGCCTTTCACAGAAATCCAAAAAGACCCTTTCGTTGTACAGGATATGCACCGTCTGCCAATAATCGCCCTCAAGGATGGACAGCTTCACACGTGCTCCTTGGTATTCCTGTCTTCATGGGGACTCTCCACTGACTCTGATCATAATGTCATCCATAAACCTTCCATCCCCAAAAACTGCCAAACTCAAGCCAAGATCGAAACTGATAAGAAATAATAAATTTGCCCCTTTTTGTGTGTGTGTATGTGTGTGTGTGTGTGTTAACCACATCCCCCAGAGGAGATACAAAGGGTGAAAGGGTGCATCTCTTGCCCACACCTCATTGGTCAGATGTTTCTCCTCAAATTGTAAAGCTTCTCTTTGGAACTAAAGATACTTACCCACACAAAAGCGACAAAAAGACATTCCCTGACCGCTGGCCTGTCCAGCTAATGGTTAACCTAGCTGGGCGTAGCCATCGCCATGACGACGCCGGCATAGTCAATACCCCTCATTCCCCCTACTTACGGACCACAACCCAGAGAAACCAAAAGAGTAGCAGAACATTCCAGAAAAAGTCCACCCATCCCAACACTGCGCTCCTTAATGTGAATAAACAAGGCAAACGATCCCTAGATTATGCTGTTCACCTGACCACCTTTATTATTCAATTTTATTGAAAAGTGACTTTATACACACCAGAAAGAGCGTTTTGAGGATGGATGGATGAATGGATGGATGGATGGATGGATCTCATACTGCAGGATGTTTTATCCGGAGCAGTTCATGTTGGTTAACTTGGTCAAAGTTAAAAGAGTAAGAAGTCTTCTGGGACCTGAGCGCGGCATTTTCCTCAGAGGGGAGGAAAACTCTGTACACACCATTGTAAGATCACAAGGATGAGCTGATGTAGGAGGTGTGTGCGTGTATGTGTGTGTGGGGGGGGGGTGTGCAGCAAGAAAAACCAGACGGCTAGTGTCAGGTGATCCACAGACTCCTGTACCGGGCCGAGGGTCAGAGGTCACGCAGACAGTGGGAGAGCTGGGAATACTTCAAAGCACAAGGTGTCCCCCAGAGAAGAGCGGCATTCAAAGGAAGCATCGCCAAGCGGAGCCCATGTACGTGCCACTCTACCCCCCTGCCCATTTCTGCTTTTGAAGATACTTTACCCTAAATCATTACCAGCACCATGAACATTCTACACAAAGCATTATGGGAAGGAAAGTGTTACCATGTCGAGGTTCCGGGGGGGGGGCAAAACGTACCACCATGCACCATCTGACATCCTGTAGCTGTTACTTATATATTCCCTTTAAACCAGAACTTAAGACAAGCACAAATACTTAGAAATATTTAACTATTTTATTTGATAATCCCTGTACATACATATCATAGAATAAATATTACTGTGTTTACATTTTTGCTACAAGATATACAAACACTCCAGGAGTATCGGCACGTCCTCACAGAGCTCTAGGTTCCTGAAGCATCTGCAAGCACAAAGGGGAAGTTTACTTGAAGGTAAAGTGACATAGTAAAAAACGCTGCCCCCGGGGGTGCTTGGGCACCATTGCGCCTTCCCCTCAGAGAGATAAACATCCCAGGCCTTGTAACACTATTGCTTTGTTGTTTCTAAAATTAGCTCCGCATTCTGCAGCCTTTCCCTTCGGAATGGCAGGATTAAAAAAAAAAAAAAAAAAAAAGACACCGAAAGCCACAACTGGATCCAGATGAAGAACACAAGAGTGTTACGTTTGAGTCGGATTTCATTTCATTATTCAATGAGTCTAAAAGCAGCCCCTGGAGCCCTCAGTAAACAAGGCGAGACCTCAGAAGGCTTTTGAGGTGTAAATGCTGAAGAACGCTTGCAGCCTAGTTTCGAATTCATAAAAACTTGAGGTCCAACGAGTGCTGAGGAAAGGGAGAACGTGGATCTGGACTGAGACTTACCCCTGGTGCTCTGGGTGGGGTTAGAGGAATGGCCGGTCAGGATGGGCGTGGCGTGTTGCTGACCATTGGACTGCGATGGACAGATGAACACAAGTCAGTGATACAGAAGCAGCACAGGTGATATGACAGGTGCCATGAGGTCACTGATGCACTACAGTTTAGCTAAGACCATGGTTGGCAGAGAGAGTGACGTCCTTGCCCCCTTGTGGTGATTTTGCCAACTGCAAGCCCAACACAGACGCTGGGAAAAATCCTACATAGGCTCTGCTAACATTATATATACTGTTGTAATATCACTTTTAGTGGTTTGATTTAATAACTGTTTTTCAAATAAATAAAGATGAAGTCTAAGCTCGGTTACCTAGTTAAATCAGTATAGCCATGAATGTCAATATCGACTACTGGTCAAGCAAGGTAGCCCCCCTGTTACTCCTCATGCCCCGTGCTGCCTGGCTAAATCCTATAAGGACTGCCCCATGATGTCATAACAGCTGGTGACCTCAGACACATGCCCTGTGATGTCATGACAGCTGGTGACCTCAGACACATGCCCTGTGATGTCATAACAGCTGGTGAAGGTCTTACATTTTGGGATAATGGTGGGGAGGGGCTGCTGGACTATATGACAAACTAATTTGGACAATAATAACAATCATAAAAAATTCTGAGCATGCCCAGTGAAGGACATGATATTTCATTAAGGAGACAGGGAGGAGCCGAGTCTCTCACCTGAGACCTGAGTGACTGCAACTCCCTGCAGAGTTTGGCCAACCTCATCTCCAGCTCGATGTTCCTCTCCTTTAACTTCTCCCTGTCCTTTCTCTCCAGGTTGAAGTCAGCCTTGTATGTGTCTGCCTGCAGGGGGTGGGAGGGGGAGATATTATTTTCGCAGAGTAAAAGAGAACTGCTGGGACCAAGTGAAATGGGGAATGTGCGAAAGAAAAGATGAATCCGAGTCGCTTCCTGCCTGAGTACACTGGGTACACTGTAGGAAACTATGGGACTATGCAGCACCTGTGTACATTTTACTACATGCTGTACTTGTATAACTATGTACATGACAAATAAAAGGAAGCTTGACTCTCTCCGTGACTGTTTGCTGTCGACCGAATCTGCCTGACCCTGTTTCCCGTTGAAGTACTCTCTCCCTGACCATAACTCCTATTGGCTGATCCTCTCCCTGATGGTGTTTCCTCTTAACCGACTCTCTCCCTAACAGTGCTTCCTGATGACCGACTCTCTCCCTGATGGTGTTTCCTCTTCACCGACTCTCTCCCTAACGGTGCTTCCTGATGACCGACTCTCTCCCTGATGGTGTTTCCTCTTCACCGACTCTCTCCCTAACGGTGCTTCCTGATGACCGACTCTCTCCCTGATGGTGTTTCCTTTTGACCGAATCTCCCTTCATGTCATTAATGCAGAGTTCTGCCAGGTGTTTACAGGTGAGCTGTGTCACACTCTGGAGGTGGACATACTCATACCTGCCACCTGAGAACTTCCAGCTCCTCCCTGACCTCCTTCTCCCGTACAGCCACCGCCTCCTGACTTTCCATCAGGACCTGCAGGGAAAACAGGGGGGATTATGGGAAACTGTGGGACTATGCAGCACCTGTCCCCACTCTAGAGAAAACATGGTGCTGATTCAGTTGAATCAGCAGTGGAGGTGACCAGTTCACAGTGGCACAGATTACAGATCATGGACACACAGATATACATTTCCTTCTTTACACAGAGGCACACACACAAATTGCCTCTACCATGTATCCTGGCAAACCCTGGGAAGGGAGACCCTTTACTGGGTGGTCACTGGGCTGGAGGTATACTTCCACACACTGCCAGTTCCCCTTTGGCAGGAACACCACCCCCTCACTGCACCCTGAATCTGAACCAAGACACACAAACCCTCTCCAAGCCTACATCTAAAGGAGAGGTCCGATTTCCATCTCCTCCCAGACACGCGTGTTTGTCCAAATCTGCACTTCTAATGATGTCACGGGCCAAATCTACCCAAATCCACAACAATCCCATACTGCCTAGCATTTTATCTTGTATTGGGTTGTCATTAATAGTTAGTAATCACAAGGGAGCCTTCTATTAAATACTGCTTCAACAGCTAGGTGTTTTACAACAGCAAAGCAGGACAAGCTCTCAGCTCTAGAGAAGCTGAAGTCTTCCAGGACTTTGCGGAGTCCTGCTTCAAGTGTTGCGTGTGACACAAAGCCAGCTACGGAAAGCAGTATATTAACACCCGCTCACAGCCAAAGAAAAAACGTACTGGGTAAACAACGGGACTCGTTTCTACCGCCAAGGAAAAAACTGGAGCGGAGGTCCATTTCAATGTGGAAACAGCGCGATTTACACTGTGCTGTCAAAAAAAAGTGAAACCCCTTTTTCACACGTCGTGTCCTGTGATATCGGATCATTTTCCGCTCCGTATTCCACCCAGAATCCCCAGGGCTCTGTGGTGCCGGAGCCGGCAAACGCCCACCAGGGCCAGAGACGCAGACTCAGGTTTCTACAGGACCGGACCGGCTCTCATCCAGATCCAACACCACAGCTTTGCCAGGGAAGTCAGGCCTCAGTTGGTTCCCCCATCCATAAATCTTCGCTTCAAGTGGAGCCGCACGGGACATCTCAACGAAGCGGCGCACCGTCATCCAAACAACTCTCTAACCACAGACTCACACACCGAGCCACATGTGATAAGCTGGGCCCTTAACCCCCATCGGCTCCAGACACTGACTGATCCTGATCAATTCTATGTTGCTTTGGTTAAAAGCATTTGCTAAATAAATTAATGCAAATGTAAATGATAACACATGTGAACAAGTACTGCGGTGTTTAAAGCAACAGGAACAGCGTGATCATCTCAGCATCACACACGCGCAGGAGTGAAAATATACACAAAAGCAGGCACATTTACAGGCTGACCTGTGCACACAACATACAGGCACTCCCACAATCTCAAACACCGATCAGAATCCTATCTCCACATCTGGAGGAATTTGTGCTTTACACCTCTGGTGTATATTTGAGATAATACAATGCTATGATATGGAATCACTATAGGAAGTTTATAAGAGTATTTGCTTTGTAGATTCTGTGAAAGCAGTCAATAAAAATAATCTCTGTGATTTAAAACAATATAAAAAAGCTTTAAACAGCTTGGTATACAGTAATAACTATGCAAGGAAGACAAACAAGCTTAGGCTAGAGGAAATGGTATTTTTTAAATAATAAGCATAATTTTAAATAACTCTGATCATTTATAGGTTCAAGTTTCCAATTCTAAGTACTAAATTCAATTCCACTCTCATTAAATATATATCAGCGACTTCCACCCTGTGGTCAAAATTGGTAATGCACATAGCAGCGACGAAGGTGCCAGCCGCAACTTAAGCCGGGAAAATTGTACTGTGCCCCGTGTGGAGGAGAGTGGTAATGCAATGGAATCTATCAGCAAGTCCACGGCAAACAGTGTAAAACTGGCAATTAAAACCATGTAAATTGGTAAATTAAATAATTCTGCTGCCTTCGTATTACAGATTTCACACACGCACTCGGTGAATGCTGTGCTTGAACAAGAATAAAATTACCTGATTCAATCGCCGGATTTCACTGGTCTGTTGCTGCCCTCTTGTGGTCAATGTCGCGATCTGCTCTGTAAGACGCTGAACTTGCTTCTCCGTTTCCCGTAATTCTGCAATCTGCTCGAAGTTTCGGTTCTACAGTCATACAAAAAAAAAAAAAAAAGAAAGCGACCAATCGGATTTTTAAACAGCGGCTGATTGTTTCTGGTAAGTCTTGTCCTGGAAATACAGATATTGAAATTCAACTGTTGTCATAAAAAGAGACCTATGGTGTCATTTGAATGACATTAGATACACGAATACAAACTGCCCAAACAGATGCTTAATGTTCTGAAAATACAAGACATATTTAACATTGTTAGCATGAACCTTCACTGGCACATGTGCATTTTTCTCCACTTCAACTACTGATGTTCATTAGACAGACTTTTAAATAAATATATGCCACTTGGATTGACTGGCTCAAGGTATTTGTAATAGCTGTCTTACAACACATCAAGGGTGACGACCCTTTAAGTTTACATGTGCAAATATCCTGTGGGATGTTCAGTAGCCTGGGGATTAGGGCTTTTTACGAGGACAGATAACCAGAAGGTGTGTAAATTCTCACCTGTGGCTTGTCCACGGGGGGCCTTCCCGCTCTCACCTCCCTGTGGTCGAGTTCCCAGGTCGCCAGCCTGCCCCGCAGCACGTCTATCTGAATAAGGAAACGCATCGTGGTCAGTCCCATCTCACGAGTTTGGCGGTAAACTGCTTTGGAGTTTCCACTCTTTGGGTGATATCTGTGAACTAAATAACCTGGTGATATTCGGAGCCTCTGATTAGTGCATCACCATGATCGTCCCTCACGCAGCATGACTGCCCTTTATGCAGTCACACAGCCTCTCTCCTCCACTCATCCCTCCCGTTACATGTGGTGCAGTGCCATTAAATGCCATACTTTTAACATAGAGAGTAAATACCCAACAGACCTTTTGCATATAATGTCGTTTCAAGTATTGGCAGTATTCGTCCCACTTCTTGTTGATGTCCAGAAGCTTTGAACAAGACAACAAAGAACAAGAGCAGTTAGGCCCAAAGACATTAGGATTAGATAAGATGAACTTTATTGATGCCAGGGGGAAATTCCTCACATGAGTAAAACCTCACTGCAGGATATGTTGTGTGAAGAATCTGATCCTGTAGGAACCTATCGCAACATGCATTTGAGCACCTAATTCTATGCACCCCCCCCCCCCAAAAAAAAAAAAAAAAAACAAAGGAAGTACTTCAATTTGGCTGCATTTTCTTAAGTAGTCGACTGCACCGTGTCCCACTAGGGGAAGGTAAACTTACCTCTTGTCTTTGCTTTTCCAAAATGCCGATGCGTTGAAGTAGATCATCAGGCCTTTGGGTCACACTTCCTTTGATTTCCTGCAAATTTTAAGTTATTTAGCATTAACAGATACATTGTCAGATATATCCCAGAGTGTATCTGTAATGCTGTGTGACGTTCACTTTAACATAGAACCCTATATGGAGTTATGCACATGTAAATTCACTGTCCTAGTCACAAGCCAAAGTATGCTGTAATTTACCAGCAGTTAATTTGATTTTTCTAAGGCACTGAAATTATTTACATACTAATATGAACACTTTAACTGTTGAACTAATTATCAAATTGTTGCAATGGAGCAAACCAGCCTTTTATATCTATAGATTTCCAATTTCGAGTGGTCCCTGAAACATTTCCAGTAGACTTCCTTCACGTGATTTCATCCTTTTAGAACCCCAAATGTTAAATGTTGCCAGACCACCTACAATCGGCCCACCCGGAAAATGCCCGGTGTGACGGACCAGATGAGCAGCCCTGCTAAATCCTACAACCCCGTTAATGAAAACTCTCCTTTACGTGAGCGCCCTGCCTGTGCCTTTGCACGGTATTAGCTCTGATTGCTGGATCGGAGTGTCTGTACGTGAGCTCTTACCACGCCGTTGATTCCGGGGGATTTAGCTGACATCCTGCCTGCTGCCCTGCCAGACTCCTTCATTTCTTCCATCGCAGTCCCGGTCTTTCGTAGGCAGGAGACAGAGAGTATTATAGCACACGCGTCCCCACTCTCTCGGTACTTATAGCTGAGAGGTAGCATGCTGTGGGTTTGCCCCGTATGTCGAAATGCGATCAGTACATGCTGTCCGCTGGAAATCACGTATTACAGAAACGTTGCGTTAAGGAAGTTCTGCCCGGCAATGGACTGCATAAAAATTCACACGACTTTAACGAGAGAGTGTGTCGCACACAGGCAATTTCGGATACTTCCTGCCAGTATATGACACTTTGTACAGGAATTTTATGGAAAGCGATTACCGTCCTTTGAAAAAAAAAGTCCATGCTCTTTTTTGCCAGACTTCTTTCAAGTTGTAATAATACATAAAAATGCCCAGGCGTTACAATAAATTGGCACCATAATAGTGCGGAGAAATAAAGTACTTGTCCAGCATTGTAATTTTTTTTTGTATTTTTTAAATGCTATTTATCACCGTAAGCTACTGTCTATTTTAATGAACGTCAGGTGTTCGCTTTATATAGTAGACTACCGAATAAACCTTAAGTGCCCGTTTTTCAAACATCTAATTAAGTATGATTTTTAATGACATATGAAAATATAATACAGACAGCCGAGCAACTACAACTTGCATTCAGCCGATATTTATAACAATGTATTCGCTACCCAGACGACGGGATTTAATCAGTTACAACAGGGATTCACTGACTCAATACGCAAAAATGCCACGTATAGAGCAGTCGATCTCAAAAATTGCAGCATGAAGTGGCCGAGGTTGCGGCGATGACTCAGTTTGCGCCGAGTGTCTATGTAAACGATGACGGAGACGCGCACGCCGTTTCCTTTTAGGCTTCGCCGGGAACTGCGTTCCAGGGAAGAGCGACTGCGCTTCTTGCGCAATGCAGGAAAATTCCAGATTGCTGGGCTGCTTACAGGCCACTTAACACCCAACAGCATATCCAGTACTTCTAGTTACTGGAAGTTACTCTCACCTCCGGGGGTCTGTGATCTTGGTGGGACGACTGCGTGGCTGTACGCCCGATTCTCTCCAACAGCCTCCTGTCCAATTCTACCGCATAACATCTAAAAAAGCATCGAAAGAGCTCAGCAAATAGCAGATACTGGTACATGCGGCTTTGAAAACTGATGAAAGTAAACAGTTTGCTGCACTAGTCATTTTATTATTAAAATAACAACACTGGCCACTAATACTATCACTAAAACTACGCAAGAGCGTAGGTTTGTTTTCAGGATTGGTAGGGACCCCCAATTCCCCTAGACCCCTTACATATATACCACAATACAGGTAGTGACATGACCCTATTGTCCAAACATAAATCTATGCCCCTGCTACTAACTTGTACTAACAACATCAACAATAAAGTATTATAATTATTATTATTAATAATAATAATAATAATAATAATACTATTATTGGGAAAGTACATCAGTTTAACCCATCATCAATGTATCCCGTAGACAGATAATCCAAACGGGTCAGACCAAGGAAGAACCCACCGTGAAGGGGGACTCACCTGTCAGGCTCTCCATCTCTCAGCATCTCCTCCATGTACATCCAATCAACCCCCCCGTGCTGAAAGTGAGAAAGCCAAAATGTTAGCACTGGGCCAAGGGCCTCTTCATCACGCCAGTGCTGCCCTAAAGCTGACATTATCGCGGACTATTACTGCCGGATGTCGGATTTTGGTAAATGCTCGTACGGGGACCCTGTGAAAGACCACGGTGACTGGAAGTGAGAGCGCTGACAGAAGCGGGCGGCACACACGTCAGCAGAGGACCAGGACCGATAAGGCAGTCGCTCAGGGTTTGACTCAGAGCTTAGATGTGGGGTCTGTGCGACCTGTGCTGCTCCAGCCTGACCCAGTGCGCTTCCCCAAGGCACGGTGGTCATCGAAGGCCTAGAGTGACCGCCACGCTACGCATGTGTGACGATGAGCGCGAGCAGACAGCCCCAGAGAGGCGTCACCAACCTCCAGCGGCACCCTTGGCGTCCGCCGCCGAAAGCACAAACGGAAACCATGACTCATGTTTTCTTTTGCTCTCTCTTCTTATTTTCCACCACAAAAAGAGGTCCCCCTTTAGGTGGGAGGTAAATAACGCACCCACTCAAGTCTCCCCTAAGAAATACCCCAGCTCTCTCCACCGAACAAGAAATGCCTCATTTCTTTGCACCGGGGCTTCTTTTACGAAACATGGCCCATTGTGTTTATCGCCCCTTATAGGAAACACCCACCCAGCCAAACGCGCGGCGGCACAGACAGGCCCCTGTAAACACATGTCATATACATACACACACATATATATGCATACACACACATTCTAATTTCTAATAATACTATTTATTATTTTTGTTCATATTTCGTAAACTTTATTATTGTGGACCTCTCAAGAGCACTGGCAATTTAAAACTATGGATATAGTTTCCTCATTTGAAATAACAAAATTGCTGATTTAACTACATTTTGAGGCTGTGGTTCAGAACGTAGACCTCATTATAAACCTAGACATCACTGTTGATTCTTGGGCCAGGGAGTGAACCTGAATTGCTCAAGTAAAACAGCCAGCTGGACAAATTGTTTGTAAGTAGGGTGACCACCTAATCCATGTCAGTCAGGGGCGACACTATGAGCTATTCTAGGTTTTACAAGTTAATTTGAAACTGAAAGGCTCTTGTGCATGGCTAATTAATTAATGTTCTTGTACTCTTACTGGTTTTTTTCCTTGATTTAAAATCTAATCCAGCTGTTTCACATTAACTTATCTGACACAGGCATGATTATAGGAGACTGACCAATTAGCACACAGCAAGAACTCAGTGATACAGTGAAATCCATGTCCGTTTAATTGAAACAGTAGTTTACAAACCATGTCCTAACCTAACTCATAGTGTCTCCCATGGCATGGATTAGCGGTCACTCTATTCGTAAGATTGGGTACTGAGAAACTTCGTTCTTATCATGTCAAGTGGTTTGAATGAAAATAAAGCCGATAAAGCTGATTCTGAATGCTTATTAACATAAAACGATTCACACTTACCATCCCGTGCTCAAGACAGTCCATTGTGTTCCTCTAAAAAAAAAAAAAACAACAAAAAAAAATGTTCGTCCTGTACTCCAGTAAAGACGATCGTCTGTGTGCGTCTCTGTGCATGTGCTGCGTATTTAAATGAGCCACGCCAAAAGGGAAACCCCAGTCTGCCGCCGGGGAAGACCCGCCCACGCAATCGTTCAACTGAAAAGACCACAAAAAAAGAGGAGGAGGAGGATACCCTGTCAGGCCCGTGCGCTGGTGGAGCAGCGCATGCGTGGGCAATGCCCGGGGACGAGCGGGTTGCAGCATGGGAGTTTTCTCACCTTAGGCTCCGTATGCCAGTAATACCGTGCCTTTACTGTAACGCCGGGGTCCTGCCGCTTAAAAGTCAACAACGTTTCGGTTTCCGAAACTAAACTGTGCACCATTATAACTTAATTAGTATAAATTTCGGTGTGTGTCACCGTTGTGTAAGTCCGCGATAGACCATTCAATACCATAGTATTCCATAACACCGAAGGAGGGGATTACTCGTGCTGACATAATGTCATTACTCTCACCAAAGCTCTAAATGTCATACGTTTGTATGCAGCCTATATAAAACGTTAATAATTGTCCTTCGTATCCTGAGTAATATCAGTCCTTGTTTTCTTTCTCGGGTTCTTGCTTGAAGCTGCCTGAGTCATTGCTGATACCTGTCACGAAATTGAAAGGGAGGGGGAAATTTCTGGAAGCGAGCCTGCCCCGCCGGTACAGTCATTCGGCGCGAAATGCGAGCTTCGACCACAACCGGGGCTCGGATCTTCTACTGCTACACACACGGTAGGAGCTTTGGTCAGGTTTTGCTCCATGAAGATCATCAAGAAGGGGGGGGGGGGGTTGGGGGTAAAGTGACCTTTAAGTTCTTAAGCATGATGGGGGTGGGGTAATCATAATGGCATAGGTAATTCCCATTCACCTCGTATTTAAAAGTGTATATGTGTGTGTGTGTGTGTGTGTGTGTGTGTGGGGTGGGGATTATGATTTAATGTCAAATGAGATACGGTGAGGGACCCTTTGGCTTAACAGGGTAGCAGACCCAAGAGGTTTCTCACTCATAAAGACGAGGGTAGGTTGTTACTGTTATAAAAACCTACACATTTGCAAAAATGGTTACGCAACGTTTAATGATATATTCGGAAGCGGAGGTGCCTTTTGAAGCATCTTTAAAAATGCATTGATGATGAATAGCCTACAAACGAAGTATTTCAAACCAATAAAACTTTAACAAAAGCCTTAATTACAACTGTGTTTTAATTCAAAAGGGTGAAGTAAACAGAAAAGTGGACGTGAGACACACACACCACTTCAGAGCAAGGAGGAATCACCATGTTCCCATAACTAGGAGATGCGGACTGCAGTAAGCTCCTTTCCTTACCGCTGCCGTCAAAATCTCTTTCGCTCTCTGTCGGTTTAGGTTTCGCTTTTGTTTCTCGCCGTTTCACATGGTAAAGCTCAGGGTGTTGATTACCTCCCCCGACATTCCCAGCAGATACGGAGACCTCACGCTCCACCGATCATCCACAGCTTCCTCTGCTGTCCAAAATCCCACAACGACCGCGGTCAGAAGATACACGCAAATCCATAAAGTTGCACCTCAGACACCGCCGTTTACCCCAAACTAACATAAATAACCTGAACTGTTTTCGGTAAATATTCAGTCATGTTGTAGAACTCTTGGCACTATAAATGTTATATAAAAAAAAAGAAGCAGCAATTTCTTGCGTTTGGGGTAGAGTATGCTTGGATTAGGTACTGCCCTGTGGAAATCCATCCATCCATCAATCCATGCATCTTCAGACCACTCGTCCAGGAGAGGGTCACGGTTCCTGTGGGAATCTCTGTTTACAGTAATGTCCGTGCATTTTGCATAAGCAAATGGGTATTTTGAGCATCCTTGTGATTTGATTACTTATACACCAGGCTGCCCCCCCCCCCAAGCAGGGGTGCACGCGGCAGAGGCCTGCACTGCTGGCGACTCTGCAGAAAACCAGGGGCCAGTTACCCATCACCTACACAGATCCCACTCAGCTCCCAGAATCCCCGGCTGCCCCCCCCCCCCACATGGTGTCTGATGGATGCTGTCAAGAAGGCAAGTAAGACAGGATTAAATAAACAGCTCCATCATGAGCACCCGCCTCAAAAATGCCTCTTTTATTGTNCACACACCTGTTATACGCTCGTGCAGGTCTTCCTATTCGGAACACCTCGTCCCATAGCTTATTGTTAGTGGTTTCAGCAGAATGTGTTTGAAGGGTCACATCCTCTTGCTTGGTGTTAGTTCCTATCATCCAAAGAGTGATTCAGACCACATGCAGGCCGCAAGCCGCCACAGAATGGCCTATTTACCATGGGAATGTGACTGGGAGAAGCTGGGCATAGGCCCCTGCTCAAGGGCCCGTCTGTGATTGGCTGCTGACCACAGGACTCCAACCACCGCCATCCAGACACAGGCACAGATTGCAAACCCACTGTGGACGTGACATAATAAGGTCAGATGACCTTTATTAATCCCACAGATGGGAAATTTGCATTGTAACAGAAGCAGAAAGAACAGAACAGTACAAGAGGAGTAATAAAATAGCCTTAATACTATATATGCATACACATATATCACTGTTTCCCCCAGGTTTACAGCTTTGGGAGGGCAGACGGACACCGACAGGATTCATGGTTTTCATGTGTTTCTTCTAATGACAGCAGTAAAAAAAACACAGATATATTTGTCTGCTTTTCAGGTGGTTGACGTGACATATTTTCCAATGCGCGCTCTCTGTCCGCTGCTGGGAGTGTGCTCACCTGTGTGTGCACGCACATGTCTGTATGCATGTGTGTGTGTATATTTACTAAGTGGACATTTTTAGATCCTCATAGCAGCAAACTAAATTATTAAAGCAAATAGCAGCAGGAATTGAATATTTGTTAACAGCAGAAATGACAATATTAGAACATTTCGCAGACTCCTATATGAAAAATCATTGCACTTTATCAGTCCTTGTGTGTGCTTGTGTGTGTGTGTGCGTGCATGTGGTCAACTGCATGATATTGTTTATTGTAGAGTCTGACAGCAGCTAGACGGAACGACCTGCATTATCTCTCCTCCTACCCCCTTGATTGGATAAAGCTCCCATTTGCCATTCCTGATTGGTTAATTTCACTACTATTCACCATCAGACCTGACCAGGTCTGAGATCCAATCCCATAATTTTTCATAAACAATTCCCTTATAGAATCTATATACTTACATTTACTTACGTTTGTTCCCTCCACTGACTTCCTGTAGCTGCCCGCATCAGATTCAAAACGCTGATGCTTGCCTACAAAGCCAAAAATGGACCAGCATTCTCCTACCTAAAAGAACTTCCCACCCCGCACTGCACCACACTCTCCAATCCTCCAGCACCGCTCGACTGGTCCCACAGTCTCTCAAGGTGCAAAGGCGGCATGCATCTAGACCCCTATTATTCAAATCACGGTCCTCGAGGTCCGAGCACTGTTGGTTTTCCAGCCTTCCTTTACCTCAGAGCCAGGTGTGAAGCCTCTGACCAATCAGGATCAGTTATTATTAAACTAACTACCTGGAAGAACTGAAAACAAGGCCTGGATTTGGAATCGAGGTCCAGATTTGAAGAGCCCTGCGCTAGACTCTTCTCTTTTTTGGCACCTCTGTGTTTGGAATGAACTTCCCCTAGATGTCCAAACAGCTGAGTCATTGGGTGCCTTCAAACAATGACTAAAAACCTACCTCTTTCAGAAGAACCTGGATTAGCACTTCCAGGATTATATTCTTATTTAAAGAAAAAAAAAATACCAACAGAGTTTTTAAAATGATAGTATTCTTAGCTGAGTTATATTGAACCAGTATCAGAATGTATTTACTGATGAGACTTCTAAGCATTTATGTAAGTCACCCAGGCTAAGGGTGTCTGCCAAATGCTGTATATGTACTTTTCCCTACACAGATGCGTTGTTTTCATTCTTCAGTGGGTGGGGGCACAAGAGTCCCTCGGTCACTTCTCATTCAGAACGTTTGAAGTTGGAAGCATAGAATTATCCAAAATATCTTGGTATGCATATCAAGACATTGTGGACAATTCTATGCTTCCAAATTTGTTGGAACAGTTGGGGGAAGGCCCTTTTCTGCTCCAGCACAACTGTGCCCCAGTGCACAAAGCAAGATCCATAAAGACATGGTTGGTGAGCTTGGTGTGGAAGAACTTGACTGGCCTGCACAGAGCCCTGACCTCAACCCCATAGAACACCTTTGAAATTAACTATAACGGAGATTGCGAGCCAGGCCTTCATGTTCAATATTAGTGCCTAATTTCATAAATGCTCTTCAGGATGAATGGGCAAAAGCATTCACAGAAGAGTGTTAGCTGTTAAAGCTACACAGGGGGGGACCAACTTTACACTTTTACAAATTCATGGCTACGGATTTAGAATGGGATGTCATAAAAGTTCTGTGGCCAGGTGTCCCAATACTTTTGTTCAAATAGTGTAGTTAGGGGTGGTTGATATTGCAGTTGGGGTGAGATCCTTTTAGTGTTGACACCTACCCAGCTGAAAACTGGGACCTGTTAAAGCAGGGCTGGCCAATCTTATCCGCAAAGGGCCAGTGCGTATGCGGGTTTTCACTGCAACTCCCTAATTAGATTACTAATTAGAGGACTGATTGGCTGAAGAGTCCTCATACCTGGGTTTGAAGAGCTGACCTACAGGTTATCCCAAAAACAAGCTGTTTAGTGGTATTTTACCTGATGATTAGGACCTCCCCTCCTGCTCTCGATCATGTTCTGAATAATGAGGTTAAATATATTGTGGTGCCATGGGGCAGTCATGCCATATACCCTGTGCTGCTTGTATATGTACTGTAACTGTGTTACTTAATGTGTGCCTCCGTGTATTTAACCCTGAAATTAAATGTTGTACCGACTGTGTTTTACTGTGAACTGTATGTCATGTCCTGTCTTTAAGTTGCACCATAGTCCTGGGAAATCCTAGGTCATATCACGATACACAGCATGTATAGATGATATGATGATAAAAATACTGAAATTTGATATAAACAAACCTTCACGGCCACATTCAAATTTACACACATTGTCTGAACCGTACCAGTTATTCCACTAAGCCAAACGTGCCATGCTTGTCACTCTTACATCTACAGGATAGCAGACATACAGAGTTGCAGATACACATACATACAATGTAAACTGTATAGAAGACGCAAGCATCACTAAGCCGGTACTGTTAGAGAGTGCTATTAATTTGGCTGTTGACATGGAATTAGAGATCTAGAGTGTGTGGTTTAAGGTGTCAGTGATAATACCAAGTTAGTGAAAGCAAAATACACACACTACTTAATTTGGATCCATCTCCTCTACAGTCTGATTGGCTATATCTCTGAATCAATAATTTTTCTTTCAGCCTTCAGACCTTTTTGTGTAAGTAAATCTCCCATGAGAGTCTGTATTGTCCTCATGTACAGGGAGGGGTGAGAGGGCTGGCATGGTAGGCCAGGAAGCAACATGCTGTTTACTTACATTTTACCTGATTGGGATCTTAACTCATGTTCTTGATTGCCGGGGGGGCTCTTGTCAGGGAGTGCTTTTAAATATATTCATTTGTTTGTGTTTGTCTGAGTTGGCCTTATGTCTGTGCCACTCTAATATCGGGGATGACAGTCAGGGTGGTGTGCCTTATTAGACTCCATTATCCTATGCAGTGTTGTGATTTTTTTCATTTGGAGTGCACTGTACCTGTGTATCTTTTAGGAGAACTAAATCAAACGAACTGTGATCCCCGAAAAGGTCATTTCGCCCGTCACTACTATCAATCCCACGCCCTCCGTGCAGGTCTGGATCACCCCGAGCCGTTATGCCAAGGCGGAAGTGAGACACGCTTTACCAGACCCGGTTAGACTGAAGGCTACACTTAAATTCAAAGTTAAAATATGACCTTTAGCAAAAAATAATAATAATTTAACTGGTAGGTGGCACTTTAACAAGAGCGAATTCTAAATATAAATGCGGAAATACGAGGTACGCTTTAAAATGAAACTGAAACGAGTTAAAAAACCAGCAGCGTGCTTTTGTAGATAGTGTAGCACACATAAGGTCATATAAACATCATACTGGTACCAGCTCCATAAATTGCGGAATCCTGAATTTAAGCAATATGTACCGAAACGTAGGGTATTATAACGACTCAATGCAGACTACTCACGTTTCCGTAGCAGCACGCGTGTAATGGTACGGCTCTGTCGGCCATTAACCCTTACTAAAGGTAATGTAATGATCTTAAGGCATCTGGGGCTTAGCTCTGGTTATCAAACTGACAGCATGGTTGTTAAAACGTCTGAGCTAAACACATCAGTCTGGTCTAGTTAGGATTAACGCCAGCATTTTGAACATACTAGGTAAGGTACCAGGGCAAACGCTCGCTATAGGCGGAAATGACCGAGGGCAGCCGAATGACCTGTGGAGGGGGCAGCTGCTCGACGGTAAATGCTGGCGACGGGGGCTGTGGCGGCGCTCAAAAATTAAAAGCAAAAAAGAGAGGTTGTTTTCTTACCAACTGGGACAAAAGGGGCAAATGCTCATACATCCTCAGTGCCCCCAGCTGATGCTGAATGATCATCAGTTTCGGGGGCGGGGCGAGGAGACTAAGTATTGTGGGTAATTGTAATTTCAGTTGAAATGCCTTGGAAAAACAGGCATTTCACTCAAGATAGCATCATAAATAAATTCATTATTATTGAGCCGCTTCCCCAGCTTTACGGTACTCCTGAGTCCTTCATCGACTCGGTTTCCTGCAGTCAAAGCAGTGGAAAGGAGCAAATCGAAAAGAAAAGCTGTTTAAATAGGCAATATTCTTGATATTTTTCTCCTTTATGCACTTCAGCTTTTATTTATAGTATTGGTATTTGAGAATGGGACACTCATTACGGGAAAGGTACCTGAAAAATACCACGGAGTTACAGGGACATTAGCTAGACACATCTCCGTACCAGGGTAGTACTGTCATGTTACATATAAATAAAAGTGATAAATATATCTGTAACGTTTTGGAAATTCACCCGCAAAAAAAGCCACAGCATAACACTGAAAATTCAGGCTGGTCCGCATTAAGTTTCAGTGAATCACTGACGTAGGAAAGAGTTAAACAATGGTGGAATTCAATCAGGGTATTTCATATCCACAAATGCTTAACTGCAAAGGGTGTGTTGACATTCAGCAGATTAAATGTCGCTATGACGGAAAGACATAGAAAAAACCCAACTTTTATTCTTAGAGAGGAGCAATTAGAGCGGACGCAGGTAATATTTTCTGGTCTATAAATGTAGTGTTGCTGAGTACTCCGTGATCCTCGGGTGTTGGACCACGGGCATCGCCGCCATTAAATCTGAGGGGGACGTGTCCTCCTCACATTTCATACACACACACACACACATTTAACATAAAATATTAGTTTTATGCCAGTGTCCCCCCCCACACACACACATTCAAAATGCTTCTGACGCCCCTGCCTGGGACAGAAACCTTCAGAAACTGCTGTAGTATCAGAAACCACCATCTTAACCGACCTTCCGGACAAGTTTGGATTAGGTAATGGGAGCGTTTTTCGCGCATACTGTTACACCCAATTCAAATGGGATCCATGTCATTACATATCTTTCTTTTTCCTCACATGGGCTACAGAAGGCACCCCTCCACATGCACGTGGCAGCTAGGCTGACAGGAGCTATAGAATTCTGTCAGTCCAGATGAAGGGAGTCCTGGTATGCGAACCATATGCTACCTGTCATAGGTATGGTGGTGAGTCACCGTCAGTCGTATATGTACAGAATGGTAAGGAGCGCACTCATCGCTGAGCGTTTCACTCTCAAATTCCTCTCAGGTTTGTCATTCGCTATGAAATGACGACTTAAGTGTGGAAAAGCGACACACACACCAGGAGTGTTTGAAATTATCCGAAAGGACATAAATCTGTAATATACTTACAGCCCCTTCACATGTTTTCGCCTGGTGAAAATGTGGTTAATTAATCCTTACAAGTCAAATTAAGAGTTGGAATTAAGCTGCTTGAGTAATGCAAAAGTTAATTAGTTCTTTATTATATCGATCAGCGGTTACATCCAGTGCGGGACACTTGCGCCTGTGCGTCCCATGGTGAATTACACCGGTTTTTATACGCTTTTCATATCTCTTCTCAGAGGAGACGTCCCAAGCATCATCCTTTCCAGATCAATTGCAATTATGGTGCTTCCCTTTCCGGGGCTCCGGTAGTTTTCATCCATATTAGTATATTAGTCTTACCATTATTCCCTCGTCTTTGGGGTCCACTTACTCCCCCACCCCCGTTTGATAAAGTTTATCAATTATATTTTGCAGAAGCACGATCATAGAAAAATGGCCACCACGATGTTTTTTATACTTATGGTAGGGTGACCAGATAATCCATGTCAGGGAGGACACTCTGAGCTAGGACAGGAATTGCAAATTACCATTTCAATTAAACGGACCTGGATTTGACTTGAGCACTGAGTTCTTGCTGTGTGCTGATTGGTCAGTCTCCTATAATCATGCATGTGTCACTAATGCTAATATGAAACAGCTGGATGAGTCTTTCAGTTAAGGAAACAAACTAGTCAAAGCACAAGAAGAGCTGAACTATTTAGCTGAGCACAGGAGCCTTTCAATTTGAAAGTAGTTTGTAAAACCCGAAGTAGCTCAAAGTGTCCTCCCTGACATGGATTATCTGGTCACCCTAACTTATGGCAAAAGGCCCAAAAACCAGGCAAGGACACAGCGATGGAGAACCCAGGCAATATGCCCAGAACTACCGTGAGAACTCAGGTGTTTCTTCAATAATAATAAATAGTAGCAGTCTTTGGAAGTTTTAGCTAGGCACACGTTGCTTAGCTGCAGAGCCTTCATCATGGCGATGAGCTGCAGAGCTAACGAATGCACATATTCATACAACCAGGGCTAACATAGGAAACTGATACAGAACCTTTGGGGCTAACATTAGGCGCAGAAACACTTATTTTGGTTACATTGTGCAGCAGTACGTAATTGGTCTATGTTCTCTAAAGGTTACAAGATTACGTTGTATTCCGCGTGCTACATCTTTACAGTATTGTCCTAAGGATTAGGCCTACATTCAGTGTCATACAGTGCTAAATAATATTCCATAAAACACTAGTGATTTGGTATTAAAACTTATGCATTTATAGCTGCAAAGAATCGGAATTGTGAAATTTGTTGCGATCGTTTTTTTTTATCATTCATTTAATCATCTCACGTCAAGCAAACGTTGGCAAGCTGCCTTCCGCTAGCGGGAACTAATTTGTATGTTTCCCATCATGCTTTTGCTATATGTGTTGCGTTGTGTCCACATGTCCCTGTTTATGACTATGTCCTGTTGCGTGTGTCGTGTGTTCCTTACATGTAATGTCATGTGTGGTGCTTATGTTTGTGAATGTTAATGTAATGGATGGTGTACCCACCACGGCTTGTTGTGGTGGTTAAGGGAGTCAGCACGGTGGGCTGTGATGGAAGTAGAGAGAGTGGTGGGTTGTTGTCGTTGTGTAGTTTGCTGCATGAGGTTTTTTAGAAGGCTTTAAATACGAGGGCATGTTATGTCGAGCTGTTCTGGGCGTCACAGTATCATTGCAGCGTGTGGGTCATTGATTTAGTCGGAGTCGGCACCCTGATTGTAGTTTGTGAGCTTGGCCGAAGCATGAGACGGGGAGGAGCGGGTCTGATCCCAGGGAATCCCGAGGTGGGCGGAGCAGGGAAATCTATCAAATAATGCACCTCCAACAAATGCAACTAAATAAACCAAAATTCATTCATAATACTGTAAATATAGCTACAATAGGGGTATACAAAGCAGCCGATATTTGTATCTGTATTTGTATTTGTTGAGGGGGGAAAAGTATTTGTATTCGAGTAAAATTCAAAATAGGCGTAAAAATCCATTTTTTTTTTAGTTACACTATAACGTAAATTAGAATTGTAAGTATTCTTTAATTATATCCATTATAATAATTATGGATATGCAGTAGACAGAGTAACTTAAACGTACCATATAACCCCCACAAGTGCATACAATTCGACACAACTACACAAGCATTGTTTTAACCTTTTTAACCGAACGTTAAGGTTACTCTGTCAACAGCCAATTGTCTAAATTACCGAGCTAACAGAGCGAACATGAGAGCACCCGACTGCAGACGTCAATAATGCAGCGTAATGGAATAATCTCGCGATCAAACTCTGCTTCACGAAAGTTATAAACTGCCCCCGGAACCCAGTTAAAGGACAAAAATCGATTCAACAAAAATAGTGATGCAGTTAAGTCTTTTTTTTCGCTCAGCCGAGCCTTCTCTGTTGCTGTGTGGAGCAGCCTGTGTCAGTCACCTCTTTTACATAAAATAAAACATAAAATATTAGTTTTACACACACACACATACACACACATTCAAAATGCTTCTGACGCCCCTGCCTGGGACAGAAACCTTCAGAAACTGCTGTAGTATCAGAAACCACCATCTTAACCGACCTTC